TTGGTGTAATTCTTAGCCATATTATGTTTCTTCACTATGATTTATTGCTGAAAGAAAAAAGAAGACAAAACCCTTCAGTTGCAGAGCTGTATATTAATGTTGTATCACTCAATTTATTTGTCTTTTAGTTTTAGTTCCACCTTTTGGGTACCTAAGGCTAACACTTTCCTTTGTCCCTCATTTATGCTCCCTTGCAGAATGTGCAAGAACCAATGTAGATCATTGAAGAGAGCTCAAAATACAACAAAATAAGTACCTGACTAACCTGCAGAAAATACTCCGCAAAGACTCTTGGAAACAACACAAGCTGACACTACCAAATGCCATAATCTAAAAAAATAAACACCTAATGAGTGGTGGTGTAATATTAATACAAATTTTGATGGTAAAGGAGCATGTAATGGTAAAACAGAAAACTAACTTTAAATTGTTAAATGACCAGACATGTACACATCACTTTTCTAACCCTGCAAACTAAATACTTCTGAAGTTTGAGATCGTGAAGGTAGCAAGTATGTTCATACTGTCCTGGTCTTTGCTAGGATAGGGTTAATTTTCTTCTTAGTGGCTAGAAAGCACTGTGGTTTGCTTTCAGTGAGGACTGTTATGAGAACAATGTCGATAGCTACAAGGACATGGTGCTTGGGCATTTTCCAAGAACAGAGGACTGGAAGGGGGGGCGGGGTGGAGAAGAAAAGTGTAGTAGTTAGTAAAACCGGAACTGACAGTTGGACATGCCAATAAGATATTCCATATCACATATGTCGTGTTTGGTATATTAACTGGGGCTGACCAGAAAGCAGAGGATTTTTCACTTTTTCTGGTATTGTGATTTCAGGGTTCCTTGTCGCTCCTCTGGGATCATTATCAGCGGGTGGTGAGCAATTGTACTCTGCATCACTCATAGATATATATACAGTTGTTATCATTATGACTCATATTATTCTTATTTTATTTTTACTCTATTAAATTGTTCTTATCTCAACCTACAAGACTCCTTACCCTCACCCTTCCAATTCTCTCCCTGATTCCCTGGGTGGGAGGAAGGGAGTGGGGGTGGCAGGGGGCTATGAGTGGCTGTATCTTGTTTGGCTGACAGCTAAGTTAAAATATCACATATTGATAAAATGCCTCTAAAGATGATGAAAAGTACTAAGCATGGAAGTGTAACTTTAGCAAAGTCTAAAAAGTTTATTGCACTACTGTTAAACCTCCCTGCCAACCTGCTAATTAAGTTTAAAATTATTTTTAAAAAATTGTTACTATTTTTAAAAATTAAGTTAAAACATGTTATACAAACTTATTTGATTGTTCTGAAAATAACTTTCTATTGCTCTAGGTACATAAAGTACATACACTTTACATCATGAGACAAAAGGGTTTTCCATGCTGCAGAGAATGGTGAATCTGTAAGTTTCGTGCTACAAATGTGTTATTTCCTTTAGCTATTTGTAAAACAATAACTTAATTCAGCTTTGTGATTTCAGCCTTTGCTGCATTTTATAGCACAGTCTGTTCCCCAGCTAGTAGGCAAATTGTAGATATGCACATTTTTCTTCTGCTATCTGGGAAAGAAGAGTGAAGGAGACACTAGGTATCTCCTTTGTTTCCTGGTGCCTATTGATAAGAGGTTGATTTGCATTTCAGAGCTTATTGTAAGGCACATGGAGGTTGTTGACTCTTCATTATTCTGTCCATTTGGTATGCCCTTCCCTTAATTTATTTTCTTCGTTCCACCCCATATACTATGCATATCCATTATTTTTTGCTTTCTTTCTGAAAATAGGCATTTCATCAGGAACTGAGATAAACTGACACGGAATGATAGTCCTTGTTTGTACTGGCATCACCTTCATACTGTAAGATCTTTGGTGCTTGCTGAGTAGCAGGCGTACAGTCAGTATCTTGCGCCTGTACAACCACAGTAGTTACATCAGGCACTGCTCTTGAAAGTGGGATTCATGAAAACTGAAGCTAAAAGGAATTGACAGGAGTGAAAAAAATAGATGCATTTTTAGTATCAGAAGTCTTGTTTTGATATTTAAACCTGATGAACGTGGCTTCTTTTTCTGGAACCAGAGTAGGCATTTTGGTTCAAGCTGAAACTCAAAAGAAACAATAACATTTGTTACAACACACCAGACTCACTACAATTATGGCTAAACCAAACAAGAAAACCAATAATATTTATTTTTATATAACTTTTAAAGATTAGCAAATATTAACTTGGCAGAGAACTGTTCACTGCAGCATCTCCCTGATATATTAGTTAATATACCTGAAATTTTGAACACTTCTGTGGCAAAATTTATTGACTTTAACGAACATCGCTGTAAATAAAATGGAAATACGGACTGAAAAATAAGCTGACACATGACATTCTCTGCATGAATTGGAAGAACAGTGACATTTAAATTTTTCAAATTAGAAAACCCTTTTTCCGCTATGAAATTCTACACACGCTAGTAATAAGTGGCAAAAAATTGAAATTCATGCCTTACACTCTTGTACGAAATACCATTGTAATTACCACAAATAGCTGCTGTAATGATACACGAAAGGTAATTGCACTATCACTTAGATAGGTAATCTTTTCATCTCAACAATTAGAACTAGAATCTAAAATGGCTATTTGAAAGTACACAAAAGTATAAAGAACACTACTAAAATATATACCAGTTGCTTTTCTGAATCTTAAGCCTCTATCCATTCTCTAATATGTCATTAAACATAGTTTGATGGATAAATCATACTTATGCATAGAGTTATACTAACTGTAATAAAGGTTGTTTAATAAACTCTTCAGCTATTCTGGTATCAAAAGCTCAGTAAAATTTCCCTTCAGTTCCTTGCCTTCAGATTAAGTTTTCAAAAATCCAGAAACAAAGAAGGTAACAAAGTCCCATTCCCCAGAGCTGGCATCATGGGATCACTGGGCGATCATGGGAGAATTACAAGCGAGTTCTGAATTCCCCTAACTCCAATAACGCTTCCAATCTCATTAGGGGGAAAGAAAAAAAATCACAATGCGTTGTGTTTTAAGCTGTAGCGTAATTAAATATTTCCTTTGGCAACAGTACTGGCTGAAGTAGCCCACAACTTCCCTGTTGCTCTGTACAGAACGACTGGCTTAGAGAACTCAGTCAAAAATAAGCTCTTCCAGCCACAGCAACAATAAGGAAACCAGAGTGAACAGTTTAACAGAATCTGTTAAATTAAGACTTATGAAGGAAATGTTCTTTATACCATGCACAGGTATCAGCTAATTAAGGAGTCCAGTCTCTCTTCAGTTATATTATCCAAGTCCATCCCAGAATTCATGATATATCAACAGGAAAAATTAGATTGGACCTAAGCCAGTAAGAAAAATGCAGATGCTAGGACTCTCGCCATCCTCTACTGAGAGACCTACATAGAAGGTTGCGGATTATTTCTCTTTGCTCTGTGGCTTCCATGAGTATTTTGATCTTTAATATTCCCTAGCACAACATCTACAGCATGAATTGCCCAATAACAAGGGTACTAGTCTGAGATGTAAAAGTTTGAAAGACAAGAGTTAGAACTAGGTATGTCATTTTCAGGCCAAATGCAGTAACCATTAAAATACTATAAAACATTCGGTACTGATTTAATGCTCTAATCCACTACAGAAAACACAGGCAATGGATATTATTGTTAAGAAATTTTAAGTGTTGCTCTTCCCCATATTTTCACTCCCATGAGACTTAAACGTCAGTTGTATGCCAAGCTGCTCAGGTGGAAGCAGTTCTGTGTCTAAATAAAACAAACAAACAAACAAAAAAAAAAAAACCCCACATGCATGACAAGCATTTTCAAGAAGCTGTAAATGTAGACATTTTGAGATTTAGACATTTCTGAGGTAGGATTATACACTTAAAATCTGCTCAACTCAAAAGCATCAGTCTATCTTGAACCTGTACCCTACCACAGTACAAGATATGAATTGGATATGCCAGAATTGTCATAAAATTTTGACATGCTTAACATTGTCCCCAACAGCGAATAATAAATTTTGCTACCAGCTTTAACATGACAGATTACTTAAATTCCACAAGAGGTCTGTCTGTTTGGTTGCTGTTGTTGATTTTTTTTTAACTTTTCAATGAGAGTTTTATTAGAATGAATGGAGTCTTGTCAATTGTCAGTCTTTTAGTTTTCTGTTTCAGTTGATGTAGGCATTAATCACCACATACTGTATTAACACAGTTCTTAGAACTTCGGAAACAATCTTGCTAAACAGTCATCTAGTGTTAGGAAATGGCACTTCATGTCAAAGATGAAATGGCCATAATAGTAAAAGAACAAAACCTAGACAGAAAGACTTGGAAAAATTAATAGCTTTTGTTTGTTTTTTGTTTGTTTTCAGATTCCTCCCAGTGTTCCTGCCAAAAGAATATTTAATTGTGCTTCACAGTCTACAACTAGATCAATTTTCGAAGATAACTTTGAAGGAGCAATCTCTTCTAGCTTCTTATTGCTCATTCTTTCTCTTCTCTGGACCCAAACACGATTTCATATTTGCACTTACTGATTAACATATGTAAGTAAAAAAGCTTATGCAAAACATATTTATTTAAACGGTAACATAACAGAAAATCTCACTTGAATTTCCAAATTTCATTTAACCATTCGGACATTAAGTGCATTGAAGTCCAAATCTTCATACACAAAGACTTCCAAACTGAAGTTTACGACATCCTAGAATAAAGGACTCCAAACACAATTAATCAGAACTGAACTAAGAATAAGAGAGAAGAACGAGATAAACTTGCATGGTTTAGTACTAATAAACTTGAAACAGAAGAGCAGATTTTTTCCCAAATGGTCCATTTAATAATTTGAAGCACTGATATTTGCAAATAGATTTCTTAAAAATATATATATACCATTTTAAAACAACAGCATTGCAAAGCATAAATTTGATTTGAATGGAAAAATCACATTTTCTGCAGAAGTGAATGCAAAAATAGGTCAGCACCTCAGTCACTACTAGAGCTGTCTGAACTATCAGAAGATGAACTCTTTTCCTTTCGTCTCTTCTTTTTCTCCTTTTTATGATGTTTTCCTTTCTTAGATTTATTCTTTTTTTCCTTTTCCCTTCCTTTTTTGTGTGATTTTTGTTTTTTTGACTTTGGCCCATCCTCTTCAGCTGCACTTGATGAGGAAGATCTAGAAAAAAGTATATAGATACAAAAATTGATATGTAATTAAAGAAGGAAAATGCCACAGGAGTAACATCATTTTTTTAAAATTTCAATATTTATATAATGTCACAAATCTAATTTGGTGTAGAATTCATACAGTAGCATCCACTGGAAAGCTTATGATATCTCAATTTGCAGTGTCTGACCAATGACTTTTCTAATTAGAATACTGTGCCAGAAAAGCAGTATGTTTATAATACAGATTAATTAATAATGGAATAGGCAAGTTATATGTTTTTCAGCCTTCAATAAGAAAAAGACTAAGAGCACAGACTGACAGAAAAATGAAAGTCTGACAGTAAGATACACCTTCCAGCTTTTAAAATATCACATGATCAATAACCATGCCTTCAGACAAATCTTAATATATTATTTCTCTCATGCCAAAATCTAAGAGAAATGGTTATGACAAATTTGGATGCTGCAGCTGGTAATACTGGTCTCTAACCAGAATTGCTGAGTGATAACATACACAAGGGGAATTAAGATGACAATAAAAGTCACGATCATTATACTCAAGAGGGTGGTTTTGTGCTACGGTCTACATGATTAACTATTAATTACTTGCATGTAAAGACTACCGCCAGCAGACTGACTCTCTTCTACTGTCTTAATAAGTGCAAGTTAGAGCTACACTATGTAAATAAGGAAGGGGAAAAACGCCAATACAAGAAGTGTTAAATCCTCTTTCTTTATTTCTGAAAAGTATCTTACTGTGGCCTCCAAATACATTATATGTTTCCTATCTCCCAGTGCAGTTCCTGGGACATAGTCTCATCAACAGTCCTAATGACAAACTAGTCTATAGTGTCATCTTGAAAAAAAAAAAAAAAAAAAGCAGGCAGTTTATTCAACATAAATTGGTGTTAGGACATTTTCCTTTGAAACTGGACTAACATTTTTTTAGGCTTCCAAAATAACAGGAACATTAAAACTCAACAGATGCTAAGCAAAACTACAGAAGTTTTCCTTTTGATAGTTATGTGTTACTCGGAGAGTGTGTGTGGGTCTAGAGATGCACATGTGCACACAGGAAATCTTAGGGTTTCTGAGCTGCAGGGAGGCTTCTCCATGCAAGCTAAACTGGGGACCAACCCCATAATCCTCCTGGCTCTTTGTTCTTTTACCACCACATCTTGCCTAGTGTTGGATAGTCAGATAGAACACTGCTTTCTCAGACCTGCAGCTTGCTAGAGCTTTCTAGGCTTCCATGGTCCTAATTCCACAGCCTGTGGCGTTACCATTACTCAAAGAAGAAGTTCTTCCTGGAAAACAAGCAGCTTTTCAAACCAAGGACGTACTTGCAAATTATGTCGCATCAAAAGAAGCAACATTTTCTGAGAAACAACCTACACATCAGAAATATTTCTAAAATTCTGTTTTGAAATTAAAATAGGTGTGTGATAGTTACCTTTTCCTTGGTCTCTTTAATTTTGTTTTTTCTTTGCCTTTTCTTTTTTGTTTCTTTTTTTCTTCCTCCTCATTTAAATCTACAGATAAAAAGTTACAGCTTACAAAATGCTTGTTTGAATTAAGATGAGCATTAAAACAGTGACTTCAATAACAATGTAAAGTTACTACAAAATTCTTGTTAAAAGTTTTTCTTTTCCTTCCTCCAAATTCTGGTCTAGTATGCTAATTCCAGAAATATTTTGCAGAGTAGAATTTTTTATACAATTTACATTCTAATGACTTTAATCTAAGCACTAAGAATGAAGGAAGGCCCATAAAAAGTTGTGACTTTTCCTGCAAGTTTACATCAGCTTTAGGTTTTCATATCTGTTCTGTGTTTTAAAATACTTGCCCAATCCTGAAAACAGGTCATTTAACTAGAACATACAAAAAAATAATATTCCCATAGGCTCAGCTGAATTACTTGCACACACCCTCAAGTCACATGTCACAAATAGCTATGCCATAACTAAAATAAATTTGAGTTAATCGCAAATATACTGTCTACAAAAATTGTTGGAAGAGTCACCCCTATCTGGTCATGTTTGTTTCCTGCACTAACATTGTATATTATTTTCACATTTCTCCTACAAGCAACATTTTTATCACACTGGATGAAATTTCTGACCTTAGACTTAGATATTACAAGATCAAGTAAACAGCTGTTTTTCCCGCAGATATCCATCTTCCATCTGTTTATGGTCAAAAAGCCCCCTTACTTTCAAAAGTACATAGTAAGTGGGAACAAGTGTTTCCAAAGAGACTTGTTCAAAGAAAGTTGCAGTACCAATTCAGCACTCCTGACAAGCAGACTATCCATTCCTTTTGAAGTGTTCCAACAAATTACAGGGTTCTGTCTGTCCCTTCTCCTTCCTAAATAACATCTTTAGTAGGAACTGAATGTCAAGTCTGGAATGTGAGAGCAACAGAACAAAACATGATGTTTCAAGGGGCACGGAGGAAGAACATTCATTCACTTAAAACATGCTATGGTGGAACAGCCCCCCTTTCTTACTTTGGGGAACAGCCTCTTTGGAGTCCAATTCAAGTACCTGCTAAATAACACTTCTGTTCTCTCTCTGACAAACAGATGCTCAGACCTTCCAAAGAGAGAACAGCACTTCTCCAAATACGAATGTTTAAATTCAATTCGCTAGCTGTTTCAGTCAAAACTCTACTTAGAAACCAGAGAGAAATTCAGCTATCATTTCTCAGTAGCATTAAGAGTTACTATCAACTTTAAGATGTTTAAACTATATGCCATAATCAAAAGATTAACTTAGAACATCCATGTCATTTTCTCCTAAGCAGCGTCTTAGTGACAGTCTTACAATATTTTGTTTTCAGAAGCCCTTTTTGAGATGTTCCACACTGGTACATTATGCATTTCCTATGACAGGAATTAATAATAAGAAAAGATGTGGGTATATCAAATCTCTCTGAACACATGAAGCAGAAGATCTACTTTTAAAGCACAGGCTAAAAGATAGTAGTTATCAAAAGGGATATTTCTAGTACTTCAGAAGACCATTATTCAATTTACTCTGTAAGGGAAAAAGAAAGCAACACCTTACTCTTTTTTTCACGCATGGCTTGCAATCTCTGTAGTTCTTCTTCCTCACTGTCTTCACTGCTAGTGCTGCTAACATCTAAAACAATATCTCTTTGAGGATCTACTCGGAGGAAGTTTCGACATTCAAATGTCAGATGACCAGCTGAACAAAACAAATATTCAGAAAGAAAAATTACAATTTACAAAAAAATATCAGGAACTAAAGAACATCCATTTTAGTATTATTCAGTTTTGAGAAGTTAAAAAAGGCTAGGCTGCAATGTATGAGCAAGGAGGGAGAAGTCTTACTTTGAAAAAGCCTCAAAGAATTTTGATAGGTTGTGCAATGTTATTCCATTTAATAGTGCTTTACTACAACTCTCTTATTTCTGTTAATCTAAAGATTTTGTCCAACCTTTACTTTCTATTTTTTTAGTGTTATCAAATCTTTCCCGAAGAAATGACCTAAAAGCATGAAGTGAGATATTTAAGAAACTACAGCAAGCGTGTAATACTGCTCTTCTTGTCAGTGAAACAGAAGAATCCTATTTGCTTAGGAGACATAACATTTAGCAAGCAGTACATGATACTGACTAAGCTGGTACCTGACTAGTATTTTTAGTTTTCTAGGTTACAGCTCAATAATCATGAACAGAGTTAGAAACCTTGTGCTGAATACACCCATTGGAATAATAAAGAGAAGCTAAAGATATGGTTTGGGAGAAACTAAGCTAAAGACACAGGAATGCAAGTAGCAATTGCAATAAACTCATCTCCTTCATATCAAAATACCTGCATCTTGAAGACAGAGCTTTCAGGAACATAAATACAGGTTATGTAATTTAACTACAAGTTTTCTTATCTTCCAGGGAGCTTTTGATACTTACTGCCTGTAGAAATGAAGCACTAAATCTATACTGATATTCATGTTCCTTTGGAAGAACAGATACACAAAACAATTCATTGATAAAATTTGTTGTGGACAAAGCCTACAGTGAAAGAACGAAGCAAGATTTTTCCCCCTCAGCCCACATAACACTTAAAAAAATAGATTAAATCACTCTGTGAGAAGTTCAACACAATTCACTGCAAAACAGTGTTGATGCCTCCATTGTTCTAATAATAAGAGTTAGCAATTAACAATTAAAATCTTCACTAAGATCTGTCTCCATTCATCATGAGAGTAGCCACAGACATATGATCAGAGCATAATGCAAAGCACAAGCTAAATGCTAACTACAGAATTGTAAGTAACAAAACTAACTGTTTCTTGAAATATAGAGTGCAAAGAAGTGTGTTTTCTTAGCATAGATGATCATAAAGATTTTAAATTATTTTTTCTGCCTGCCTAAGTTAGCAGGGGGACTCAGAAGAAGCACAAACGCTAATCTCAGTAGGTATCAAACACCATGCTTTCAATTCCAAGTTTCTCAAGTAATTGTATTGCAAATGTATCATAAATGAATACAAGAGCATACTTCTTTTTTTTCTTCCTGAGAAACTCAAGGGTTTTCAAAAGCAGCAATAGGTGTGAGAAGCCAGAGAATTAACAGGAAATAAATAAGTTTTTAAAATTATGGCAATTTAAACTGACAAAAAGTCTGAGCAAAAACTGAGAAGACCTCCTTTTTATTTTTGCCCCCCTCCTCAAAAGGCAGTTCCAACATCATAAGTTGAAGAAAACACCACCACTTCGTATTGCTTACTATGGACTTACGGTAGCCACACTTCTTGCATCCTGCTCTGATGTTATCCTTATTTCCACCTGAGAAAGAAAATTTCATTAATTAAGTGCTGCTAAACAGAACTATCAGGTTTGCTTTAAACCTGGCTTGATAATATCAATACACAGACAGGAGTGATCACTCCTCAGAGTATTAAGTACACTAAGATCTCTTAAATAACAGTGAAACAGTGGATTTCTAAGGTCATTTTCCTGTGCAGTACTCTATTACAACAAAATTGGCTAGTATGAACTGCTATAAACATTTAGTTTCACATAACTTGTTGACAGATCCTAATTTGATTATTACTTTTTCATTATATTTTTTAATAACTATTCCACTTCCCTGAAAGTTTATGCATTTGTTTAGTTACAGTATGAACACAGTAATAGCTATCTGACATTCCAGTGATCCATAACTGCACACTGTAAGTGTACTTATAAATTCTAGCAGTGCATGGAGGTTGACAGACAAGAGGTAAGTAGATAGAGAACATGGAAGAAAGCGTCAAGAAGCAGGGAAAAAAGTATAGCTCTATCTTACAATCTCATGTCAAAGAAATATTCAAAACAGCATCTGCTTGTTTGCTACACCTTGGGACTAGAAAGCAAGATCACCTTACCTACCTACTGTGCCACAGCTTTTTGAAATATTCAGTATACTAACTTCAGCCCTACTCTGTAACTGACCTGTAGGTAAAGAAATAATCGGTATTCCATGCAAGGGAGGTCAGTACAAAATCTCCTGTATTATGTGCAGGTGCCATTTATCAGGATTTCAAATAGAAACACCCAGCAGATGGCAAGAATATCGTCACCAAATACTCCCACCAAATTCCTGAAACTGAAATTTTATTACTACTTTTGGCTTCAAGTAACAACATTAGAAGTAGGGTTTTAAAAAGTTTTAGACAAAGTTTTAAAAGATGAAAAGCAAACAAATTACTAGAAGCTTCCTTTTCTCACTCCCTTCTTCTCAGGTGTTAATCCGCAAGAAAATTAACAACAAACACAGCAACAATCATTACTAAGGACCTGATTCATCCAGTGGCGCATAAGAATGCAAAAAAAGCTTTGGAAACGTTTGAACACAACGATGAGAACCCTTCCTCAAAGAACGCGTTCTAGAATGGGCACAAGCTTATTGTGGTCTTCTCTTAAGAAAGAGAAGAAGCTGAGCAGAGCTCAGGCTTGTTCAGCTGTTCTCCAACCAAACACTCCTCTGTCTCAGGACAATGAAAAAATTACGAAGCTTGGGCAACACGTTCAGCTAACACGGATCTAAATAACCTGCAAACAGCAGACAGCATTTCTGCCCATCCTCTCGCAGCATCGTTCTCAACGGCTCTATCTCAACAATAATCTAGCAGGACACAAACGTTGATCCAGCACAAAAAACGAGGAGGAAAACCAAGTCTGACAACAGCCGTTCTTCGGATCTAACTTTAAAGGAGGTGGCTCACACCAACAGACCACAGGAGCGGAGCACTTGGCCATTGCTCATACAAATCACTGGGGAGAGGCCCCGCAGGCCTAGAAGGAAGCGACGGCATGGCCGCGCCCATCAGCGGCTGGCCTGACCCTGACCCTCTCCCCCGGCCGTGTCCCTCCCGCTGCCCCACCACCATCAGCTGGTTT